AGCGGCGCGGCCCCCAAAGGAAGAGCAACGACCAAGACAAGATAAAACAAGACAAAGCTGGGCCATGAGTGTCTGTTTCGAGCGCATGGCTGGCGGGAAAAGCAAACATGCCTGGATGGATCCCCGGAATGCACATCACCCTCTGGCCTGTCTTGTCTGACTGACTCTCTAGTCTTGAGTCTCCAGTCTTTGCTATCTGCGCTTGGGCGGCTTTGATGGACTCGACCACTACTGTACGGATATTTTATCTGCCAATCTACTAATTTGACATTTCCGGATCGGACCGTTGACAAACCCTCTGCCCCAACGCAAGTTCGCAACTATCGACTTGTCGGTGCAGAAATACTGCATCCGCTCGTTCGCAGAAAGTGAAAATCGCGTCACGCCAAGCCGTTGACAGAAAACCCGTCATCTCAGACAACCAACAACAGCCGACAAGCTCGAACTCGAACCCACAATCCAATCCAACGGACCAACGCACAGTTACAACTTTCCCAGCCTAGTTGACTCGACTCGGACAAACAAAGTGAGGTGTCACTGCACTGTCTTCGGCTCACGGACCTCGTACGGCGGCCGCTGTGAAGCACAGTCAAAGTCTTGTTTCTTTTGCTTCCATTCTCCGCTCCGATCCACAGCCAGCGACCTGAGGACTGAGGTATCCCCAAGGCATGCTACCGTATGACAAGACAAGACAAGAGTTCCGACTGGAGACAACATGTTACGATCACTAGTGGAAGCTAGGCTACCTTTACGCTAGAAGCCCCCATCAGCTGCAGATAGAGTGGCATGGAAGGAATCCTGCAGTGATCCCTCCCCTGTCAAATGGCTAGGTTAACGAGACCATCACGCCAGCCAGTGCGTCCGATCCTTTGCGCAGCCTCATTGTCTCATTCACAGACTCACAGTCGACCACTTCTTAGGTCCCCTCATCCCCTCTTGGTGCGACAACGGCGGCGATGGATTACGGATAACCTTCCTTGGCCATCCAATTGTATTCCAATCATCATTGACCCAATGACCCAACAACGTTGCCTGTCACTTGCCCATCAACCCCTTCTGACATCTATCGTATGGCCCGGCGCAATCGTCAGAGCCTATCCAGTTCAGACGCACAGTCAAACGAGATCAAGACGAAAGCGGCTTCCAGTCTTTCGACTGACCTCAGTATAGCGGAACCACGCCGGGTGCTGCAATACTTTGCTTGCCTCGCTGCCAAACCGCAGAATCTATCAAAGGCTATGAAGCCCTGTTTGGTCAAACCAGCAGTCAAACCTCCATGGGAGCCTCTCTCTCCAGATCATCCTATCCTGAGCTGCAAATGTCGATTCCACTCATCATTGGGCATTTGCCAGGCCGACGTTGGCACAAACAAATTTGTCAAGCCAGGCCGGCGAAAAGTCAACCAAAAGCCCAGGACCGCAAGCTTCCCCAGCCAGCCTAGGCCCCCAAGGCCCCTCGACCATCTTCGCAGTCTCCGGAACTAGGCAGGCATGGTCGGTCGATCACAGCGAACCGTGTTGCTTCTCTCAGATCTCCAGATATCGTTCTGACGGGACCACGGGGCCTACCACTCATACCTAGCACACACACACCACCACCCGATACATCCAGGTCCCCAGAGGTGCGAGAGGATACATACTCGATTCGGCTCCAGAACCCTGGCCTGGGCTCACGCATTAAGAGATGGCAAAGGTGGACTGCATGTTACCAGTCATTTATGACAACGTCCCAACCTCCTCTTCAATTGTGGAGTCACCAAAGTCTATGAATGGATGTACCAAACGAAAACAAACTGCTGCAGCGTATCAAGCTCAACCGATACCTCGCAAGGCGCAGACGTACAGTGCGTCTGTGCCAAAGATACATGCTATCTACATGTTGTGAACCGTCGAGAGGGGCATGACAGCAGTAGCACAAGACATCCCCAACCACAGGAAAGTCTATCCGTCGCGGATGTAAGCTGGATCATTCAGGAGCTCACTCGACTAATAAATCTTGAGTCTAAGCAAGCCACCCCACTTACCTTACTCGCGGCTACGGGATTTCGCATTGCACGGGCCGCGTCTATCTTTCGAGGATGGCTGAATTCTATCGTCTCTCAGGCACCTCTTCGTCATCTACGCATAGACAGTCGATGAGGTGACAGGTTATACTCCTCCTCGCCGGCGCATGCAACAAAACACCTCGCTTTTGTCTCAACTTCGCGAAAGCCGCTCATCAAGCCTACTCCGTACACTCGTCGTCGGTTGAGTTCACGGTCAGGCTGCTTAGCCGGAAAACGCGGGAACCTTGCTTTACCAAGGTAAACAAGCTCAGGGTCAATTAACGACAGCGAGGGATGAGGTAATCTACAAAGTCAAGACGCAACGAGCGTTAAACGTTAGCTGGGACTTTGCCATATCCCAGTCTCGTTGAAGAACCAGCTCCATCGGCCGAGTGGTTCAGTGCTTCTTCCATAGTTTACTAGTGACTGCCGGTCCAGCCCTAGGTCGTGCTTCGTCCCATGAATTCATCATGCCGTATGAGACTTTCCAAACCCCGTCTACTGGGAGACGGGAATTCTAGAACGCGCCGATGGACTTTTCCAGAGTTCCTCGCATTCTCGCACACTAACTCGGACCTTTGACCGTTTTCTCTCTTATTATCCTGTCTTCTTCGTTGGGAGTGCCGAGTTTTCAGATTACTCCATCTAGCTCATTACATCTCCCACACCGGCTTGTGTGCCCAAATCCGCAATGAAATAACGACGGATGTCTTTTCGATGAGATTATTTGTCACCGCTTTCTATGGGGAAGAGCGCCCCGAAACGCATCGGTGATCGCCCCAGAGTAAGACCCGCCAATACGGCTCTGGGCATCGGGCGTGTGTTACTGCATACAGCAACGAAAAGCCGACGGTATGGTACACACAAACAACATACCACAAGACAAGGCTGCGTTTCTCGTTCTGTAAAACACCATCGCCCCCAATTCTCAATGCCTGTATCCGTGTATGCCGTATGCCGCCGCCGATCTACCATTTACGGATACCATGTTGTGGGTGAGCTTACGGGGTAGATCCCTTCCCACCCCCTCCCCCAAACTTCAAGGTTTGGTCCCAAATCGATGGGACAGGGACATGAACTACGTACTCGTCTCCCGGAGCTCCGCGACGCCATCTTGCCGAGGCTTATATCAAACCACACAAACACAAACAACGAAATGCCGGTTCAGCTCATCGATGGCAAATTGAAGTAGGGTTCCAAGCAGATTGATAGTAGATCTAGCCGCTAGAGGCGGCATGGGGTGTGTCTGTGTGCGTGTGTGTGTGTGTGTGGCGAGCCAGCGCCGATGAATCGTCTTCCCCTCCTCGTCTCACAACTTCATCTCTTCAATGCCTCGGCCGAAGACAGGTAGAGGGAGGGATTTCAGGGAAACCAAGACAATTCCCTTCCACCCCTCTCTCCTGATGACCACGTGGTGACCGGGCGTTCCTAGAAATTAATTAATTGACATGATAGGCTAGTGGATGAATGGAGGTTACTCATATTCGTAGGGGTGATGATGACCTGTGTGGCCTCGGCATCTTCCATCTACTTTGTACTTTGAGGTCAGGGAAACCATTCCACGCAGAGAGGGGCGCAAATCCCTCCGAGAACAAGAAATCTTGTCTTCCCGCCGCCGTTTCTTATTGACGATAATGTGGTTCCTGGAATGATACCGACGATTCAACGAACCCCACCGTCATACAGCTCATGCGTACAAATGTTCTTCGCCCTTGGCCCCCCCTCTCCTTGAGAAAATAAACAAGAACGACCTCACTACCTCCAGGACAGGGGGTGCAATGTAAGAGAGAAAGAAAGAAAAAAAAAAAACGGCCGTGTAGCGCCAACTCCAGTTTCCATGCGATGTGATGCGATGCGATCGCCGAGGTTGATCGTCGGGTTACCCGCCCGCTCCTTCTCGCTCCTCACAGCCACAGCCCTGGCCCTGGGCCTTGGGGTCCTCTGATTCCCGTCCCGAAGTCCCGGCTGCGGATACACAAAGTAAACGTGGTAAGGTTGATACCGAGATGGGCAGATGCACCTGCTATTCACGTCCAGTTTAGACGACGGGATCTTCTCTCTTTCAAACCATGTTCTCGGGGCTCCAATCACGGTACATCTGTCGCCCAAAAGTTATGAATCGGCCGTGCAACGACGAACAATCGCGCGGGGGGTCTCCCCGTCCACACTTTTACGGTCTACCAGTATCCCTTTGGTGAATCCCCCTCCCCGGGTCCCTCAATACCCAAGTCCTCATGTACCATCTAGCCAGTCCCAGTCAAAGACTTGCCCAGTCCTGCATGGGAAGGGGAGAGGGAGGGGAGGACGGGGGGAGGGGAGGGTCCCTCTTCTTCCGGATCCCGGGATGAGAAGCTATCTCAGTTTGGAAATGCTTGCGGACTACATACGAGCACCTGCACCTGCAGCACTGCAGCCGCATCCCACCCGCCGACCATCTCAACTCCCGACGCTGTCAAATGTACGCCATGACGGGCTTTCCTGCTCGGGGAAGGCCTGAGCAAGATGCTGCCAGCGTGCTTGTTGGTTTCCAGGCAAATTCGTTGCATATTGATGTGCGTCACTTTTCGATCTAGATCATTGTAGTCTCACCTTTGCTGTATCCCTAACTCCTCCTACTATCAGCTCAACGACATGGCAAAGCTTAAAGCGAGGGGAAGACTGCGGTCCTTGGAAAAAAAAACTGGTATCTTTTCAATCCTCCAAAGCATGGCTGGAATCCTAGTCCATCCAATCAGCCCATGACATGTCTATGCTCTTTTTTCTAGTAATCCAATCCAGGCGGTATCCTGAGCCCACCTCGAAACCCATTCAGTCACTCTCGACTCGGCCATATGGTTGGACGCCCATCCTTCAACTGCTGGCCAGATGGCTGGGTCGAGGCGGAGCACATGTTCGCACATAGCCAATGCCAGACGACGGTGCGTTTCCATCCTCAAGAGAGGTTCCCGCTGGTTTCTCAGCCCTCAAAAAGGCCGGCCACTCCCTCCAAGGCATCTGGTGTGGCACGCCCCCCATCAGCAACCCCACCGCCCCGTGTTCTCGACTCGTTGGCCGGTGTCATGAACTCCTGAGCCATCTTGCTACGATTGGATCTCTTGCCGCGTCCAAAGCCGCTGTTCTTGGGGAGCTTTCCCATCTCCGCAATACTAACTCCTTTGAGGTCCTTGAGCAGGTCGAGCACAAGTGCTCTCTGCTGCCGCGTGTGTGAGGCTGGCTTAGCCACAAAGTCATTGAGTCTGTCAAGGTCTGCTTGCCTGATGTTTGGCAGAGACATGAGAATGTCGCGTGGGGTGCTCGTGACAGGGCTATAGTAAACCACTATAGCAGCGATCAGAGACGCCAAGTCCTTTTGTAAATCCACAAAGTAAGGCTCATGGAAGGAGGTAATGCAAGCCCGGAGCACGTCCGAGGCAATGTATTCCCTAATGGCGGTAGCTGCTTCCGCAGATACCGGCGTGGTATCGAGGTAAGGGTCCCTGCTAGATGATGCCACCTCAGCACCATCCTGGGGCAGAGATTTCGGCGACAGTGGCTCAGCCACGGTGAAGTCTGGGACGATGGAACGGAACACTCGCAGAATTATGCTGCAGCAACGAGTGTCTCGCATGCGGATGGCGTGCGTGCAGAAGAGGAGCAGTGGCTCGACTACGGTCGACTGCATCAGGCAAAACTTCCTAAGTGATGGATACTTTCGTAATTGCTCTTGACCGTTCTGAGATCTCAATGGCGGGGGGTCTAGAACTCCATGTCAGCTTATTCGACATGTATACCGTCTCTCCGAAATCCTTGAATCAGCACTGCCATCCCCACCAGCATCTACTCCCAGCCGAGGCACAGGGAAATAACGAGGATAAGGAGCGGGGTAGCAGACAGGCAGTCTATTACGGAGCGACCCAAAGGGATCCTGGAGAAGCAGAAGGTCGGAGGGAGACTGCGACAATCTAACCGAGCAAAATAGAGGAGATGGGCGAGGATCAAGTCTGGGAGGAAGAAAGAAGAAAAATTCACTTACTCCTTTTCGTAGGGTCCAAGAAATCCGCCACCATAATGACTGCGGTATAGGTGACTTGGCGCAAGATACTCTCCGACTTCATTTCCTCGGTCAGAGCATCAGCAGCTGCCTGTATCGCCTGCTGACGTTCCAAGTTCTCCCATTCGGCATTGATCTTGGCGTCCATTTGCTGGAAACAGGCAGCTAAAAGTGGAGGTAGGAAATGCTCTCGCTGCTCAAGGGGACAGTCATCCACAAGATACCTGACGAGGTTGAGCAGGTTAATTTGCTGATGTGCTGACAGATGGAACGAGTTTTGGAAGAGTGCTTGCGCAAGCGGACCGGGCAGCTCGCTGAAGCCGTAAAACTGCATCTCCAAACGACTCATGCAATAGATGATCGCGTAGCAAGTTTCCCTAACAAACCTTACGGTTCCGCGGATCGTCGAAGCAAGGCCTTCGAGTGTGTTCTTCTTATCCATGACCCTTGCATAGAACTCATCTTTGCTGCCCTCCGAAATGCCTGCTTGCCAAAAACGGTCGCTAAGCACATTGCCAACAACAGACTTCATCTCGTTAGGCAGTTCTGTCCAGTTATCCGGGTTGTGCGAGGCGTGGGCGTGGCTACAAAGCTTGTCAGTCGGCAAACACCACAAGTGATCACGCAGGATTTACCTGAGGAACTGTAAAAGGTCCGGAAGGATCAGCGGAAAGCTATCATTCCACAGCTGGTACGAGATCTGGAACGGAGTTGACGTCTTCTCAAGCTTCTCGACAGAGAATGATAAGAAAGACTTGGTAGGGCGGAGCGGCAACATCTGTAGATAAGTAAGCATTACAACACCATGGATGTGTCCAGGTTCTACTGACCTTTTGCCTTTCCTCCAATTCGGCCTGCAGAGCCAAACCCTCCGCATCCAACTCGCAGGAACCCCATTCCTTGACTTCATGTACGCGATGGCTCATCAGATACCTCTTCGCCTTGTCCAAGGCCATCAATTCACAAAAGCCAGAGTAAGATGACAATGCATTCTTCAGCTCTTGGTTCTGCCATGCCGATGTCACAGGCTTGATGAACTGCTGGAGTCGTTCAACCTGTTTGGCCGGGTCGATGTTGGATGCTCGGTGGATGATGATGAAAAGGAAGCTTTGATAAGCGATTTGGCGTTTCTCGTCCAGAGTACCAGACGAGATCATGTCGTTGACCTTTGCCTCAATTTGGTCATAAACTGCGAGCAAGTGGTCAGGAACCTTGGAGGCTAGCCTCTGCAGCTCTACCATGCTTTCAGACTGGAAGTCCTTGATCGCTTCATTGAAAGCACGATGTTCCGGCTGGGGCGCCGGCCAGGTCATCAAAATGTGCTCGAGAACCTTGAGCATGAAACCTGGGTTTTTGTCAAGTGCAGTTGTTGAGAAGGCGACCAACAGCTGTAAAACTCTCTTTCGAATCAGAGGATCCTCGAACTTCATCTCGAGAAGTTTGGTGCACCACGACTCCAAATCCCTCTCTAATGCAGCACGCTGTTGCTCCTACAAGTAGTTTAGCATTGATTCCAATATCAGAGACTCCTTCACCTACGTAATCTGGTAAGCTCTGCTGAGTGGTGCTTGCTCTCCATTTCATGTAGCCTTTGAGTGCAGCTTCGATGACTGTGAACTGAGCATCGACACGAAGAACAGGCATAGAGTATTTAAAATAGGTTGCGACTAAAAAGGTCAGTTTTTGCTCTCTGGCTTCCGCTCAAGACATTTATCTGTCAACTCACCATCCATTGGCGGGCTCTCGTCATACAGATGCTGCAAAACGTGTTCCGCCTGACCGAGAACGTGGTATACTGCGTCGGATAGCTTGAGCTGGACGATGGTCTCAATGACTTGAGTGCTGTATCTTCGGTAGTTGCCGAGAAACGCGTGACGCTCGGGAACGGTATCAGTATCCTCCATGAGGAACATGAAGGTCTGGTCTTGGGTGTCTTCGGGCAAGTTCTCGTAGCGGATCAAGCGAGAGCCGCATACTTCAAGAAGAGGCCCAACGAGATGACTGTTGGCTGGGCTCTGGCCAATTAGCCTGTTGTTGAGGAGGCGTGTCCAGGTTGCCAAGACTGGAATCGCGATGATGAGACTTTGGCTCTGAACGGTAAGTAACAGCAGGTTGAGGAAACCGCTGACATCCGAGTTCGTAGATATGGCAGAGAACCGCCGGTCGAGGTAGTTGCCGAGAAGGGACAACATCTGCTAGCAGTTAGTAACTTCATACGCTTTCTGCATAATAGAAGACACACCTCTGAGAACTTTTTGCCGAATTGATACTTGTCCTCGTCTATGTCCTCCACATCCACAGCAGACCATTCAAAGAGCCTCTTCATGAGGTCTACTTGGCTAGCCTCATACATGGGTGCGACAAGGTCCTTGAACTCTTGTTCAGAGAAATTGGAACGGGAGTAGAGCGCGTGCAGAGCTTCTAGCGAGGCCTAGTCAATGTCAGCTTTTGGCCCCTTTTCATCGGCGGAACGAGCACAAGCCGGTCTGGTTGGTACCTTTTGGATGGACACCTCGGGAGTTGCAAGAGCCCTGCACATGACTGGGACGCAGTTTGCGACGGCAACAGACTTTGGAATGGCCCATGGCATGAGAGAATAAAACACAGTCAAGGACTTCACGGCGCAAGAGCGAATTTGGTCGTTGTTTGGTGCGTCACCGTCGAGACATTGACTGAGGAACTCGGATACCCTGCTTAGCCACCCTTCCTCCCCAGAGCGCACTTCGGGGCCTGCAACTCTGTTGGGGAATGCCTCTCTGAGAACCGAAGCTGGGGTAAAGACTTCGACGCAGCTCCTGCTGAGGACGCCTTCGCGCATGGCAACAACAGCATCGTCGCCATTGAAGACCTCGTCGGACAGGGTTTCAAGCACGAAAAGAACGAGCTCTTTGTGGACAGGAGAGTCAGGTATCTGCCAAATCCGTACCAAGAGCTCGTCCATATCCATCCACTCGGCGCCCCAGCATCTCTTTGCGACTTCTACCCACAGCTGAGCTGTCTTGTTCCTGATGTATAGCGGGTCTTCCTTTGACAAGGTGCGGCAAAGCTCCATAACCCATTCGCGCAGCATGGTAGACTGCTGCTCGTTGTATTCGGCCCATTTCTGCTTGATTGCGTGTTCGAGTAGAGACAGGGCATAGTGGCGCACGACAGGGGACTGCGACTTGTTGGATGCGAGGGTGAATCCGTGGAAGGGGGCCTCGTCTATGCCCTTGATGTTCTCGAGGAAAAGCTGGGCGTCTCGGCGGGACTCATTGGAGGAGTAAGGACTGTGTATGACCTCGAGGGCCTGGTGGATCTGGGAGATGATGTCGGTGTTTCCGCCGTTGGTGGAAGTAGTATTCTGAGCCATGCCGGCTGCGCCATTGGGCGTCCGGCCGTCCATGATAGGTAATGTCGGTCGCAATACACCGCGAAGTGTCCAGCTGTGGAAGCTGCTCGTCCAACAGGTGACTTAATTCTGGTTCATTCGTCGGATGGGGGTGAACTCGAGGGAATTCGACGGCGAGAGGAGTAGGTAGGAGAAAAGATCGGAGTGCAAGCTCGGTGAGGAATGCTGCCCAAGAAGTCGAGATTAGAGTTAGCCACGGCTGCCGTCGAATGGGAAAGAAGAGGAAAAGAACAAGACTGCACAGGAAAGTATATTACAGAACATGCATATGCTGAGATGCAAGGACGTACCACAAGCTATGTACCTGCCAAAAAGGTCTTGCTCAAGAATTATCGAGGTCGTTTGTTCTGACCTTTGATGCGGTGTCGAGTGCGAGAAGGATATGCAAGACAAAGCTGAGCAGCGGAAAGTTTGTCGGGGGGTAGTAGTGAAGGAAGCAGAGAGATTAGACTGGGATTGGATAAGGTAAGGTACGCAGATGCAAAAGCGAGTGTCGATCTTGAGAACTTCGCGGAAATGGTATCCGTGGAGCAACCGTGACAGAGATAGAAGCTAAAGACTAGCAACCGCAGCAGCAAGAAGCAATATTGAATTGCATCGTCAGAGGCGGACAGAAAGTAAAGCTAAAAGGTGGGAATTGTCGCGGCGTTAAGGCAGGTAGGTGGTGAGTTGAGCCCAAGGTGTGACCCACGCCCACGCCCCAGGTACCTCAGGTACCTCAGGTCCGACGCGCTCAGTGGTTCCGCCTACCACAGGGCAAGGTTCCATGTGGTTGCTGTCGGGTGCCCTGCTGCTGCTGTGATGCGCTGTCCCCGGTGCTGTGCTGTTCGGGCCGGGGGGTGACCGTGTACCTGGGGCTGGGCCATCTCAGACTCCCGTCACCTCACAGGTGCCAGGTATCTGTACCTGGATTACCTAACGCAATGAAACCCTGCCTTGCCCTGCCTTGAGCCTTTACCTGACCGACTTGGAGACAGGCAATAAACCAGGAGACCACACGTCGTGATGCACACAAGACGGTTAATAATTTGCATTATTCATCTCTTCAATCTCAAGTGAGGTACTACACTCTAAACTGGCCCCCCAATTATCTTCAAGTCCTATGTCCCAAGTGCCCATGTGTTGTGAGTTGGACGAAAGCATGGGAGATGCGGAGAAAAACTGTCACCCCACCTAAGTTCACATCACCTCGCCTAGGCAGATGCATTCTCGTGAATCTATATTGTTTAATTCCGGCATCTTCGTACCTTGCCATGCTACCGGGTAGCTAACTTGGTCTTGGTATATGCATGCCTGCCCAGGGACATACCCCGCCATCTGACGATTGAATATCTTCCCCCACGTTTCTAAGAGTTGGCGATCATCCAATTGCGGGAAAAGATGCATGAGGACCCCTTGATGCCGCAATGCAGTAGTATCTGACACGTCTGTTTACAGACTGCGCAAGTTGCTTCAACGGTGGAACTGCCTCATTGGAAATCACATCGGCATAGTTGTGCAAGTATGCATGGAAACTTCGGTCAAGTTTACTCTTCAACTTAGCAAGTCCCCTTAAGCACAAGAACCACGCCCTGTTTTTTCCCGACATATATGAAGCCGGCTATTAGCGTTGGAAGAAAGACCATACATCATGGCTAGGCTGTCCATATTTCTCTGGCACCTGCTATTCCAAGCTATTAGTCTGATCAAAACAATTAAATTGCAATGGCTTCTTCCATTGCAGTGGTGACTTCTGCTGGATTTCCATTTCCCTACCTTCGCCTAGGCTAGTTTTACCTCCCATAGGCACAAGAGCTTGTCGTAGAAGCTCGTCGATACACACTCAAGACGCTTGACTCCCGATGCAGGTACAAAGTCGCTGCCGTAGTTCATACTCTTATGCTCCTCGAACTGGGCCAGGACAGTCACGACCCAGTCTTCGCCGTCCAGCGGGCCCTCGAGTTCGACAATTCTGGCGCCAGCATGCATGCATGATGCCAGAACGCGCAGGCGGCATCGGTCAGCATTGCTCTTCATGTCGATCAACTTGAGCCTCCACACACCCCCTCCTAAGTTCTCCTCTGCGAGACATTTGACCTTCCGCATACCATACGTCTCGTGCGGCGGCTGTACAGAAAACACTCTTATTGTGTCGTCATAACTACCCGTAACTAGTAGTCTCGAGTTGTCTGCGAGAGCAAGTGAAATGGGGAGGATAGCAGTCACGCCGGCACCGTGGCCGGGGATGTTGAGGGGCGCAAACAGAGCCCCGATGCCCGAATCGTCACTGCGAGAACACGATGTGTAGCGCAACGCCGAGTCGTCTCCTCCAGAGTAGAGGACGAAGGGCTTGGCTTGGTCTGGTGGCGAGAAGGCAACTGTCCAAGCCTCGAGAGAATGCGTGATAACAGCCTCCGAGTCCTCTTCGTCTATAATCTCCCATGAACCGTCGAGCCTTACAATACGCACCTCACCAGACGAGGTTGTCAGCGCAAGACAGGCGGCATCGTTCGGGTCCCAGACACCAGAGAGGAAGAGAACGCCTTCAGGTACATCGGATATTTTGCTCGTCGCCAAATGCTTCAACGGCTCTGAGTAATCAGTGTCCGGGGCCAGCTTAAAGATGGAAAGTGTTCCCGTGCTCGAGACTACAGCCAAGATGTCCTCCAGCCCTGACGATGGGCAGAAGTGCAGGTCAAGAATTGCTGAAGGATGCATGAGTGTTTGCACATGTTGCCTACCAACGAGTGAGCCAAAGGGGAAAGGAGACAATTATTGTTGCAGGCAAGCGGCAGACTTACACAAGGCCGCCCACGAGCTGGTATACAACCAAGCTACCGTTCCGGTTTTGAGACTTCTTGGGAACAGCACCATCTGCGTTTTCTGACGACTCAGTCTTCGTCTCCTCTTCCTTGACCAAGTTATAGGTGCCGACCACGAAATAAGACGGATGTGTTGAACAGAACTCTATGCAGCTTGGGGGCAAGTCGAGGATGAGAGACTGCTTTGAGGTAATGGTCGGGGCTGAGTCACCCATTGTGGATTGTGTGAGGTTGTCTTCTGGTTTTGGGCTGAAAAGAAAAAAAATACCAATCCCCAGCTTTCGAGTGTTTGGTGAGGATGTCACTAGATGCGGGGTGTCTCACTGAGTACTAATGCTGTCTCGTCTCGGGTTTTCGATAATGGAATGTCTAGGTGGTTTGGAGTCTGGGGAAGACGTGTGGGGGAAGTCGAATTTGAGATTTGACGTGCGGTGGTTAGGTAGAGTTCTGCACTCGCCAAAGAGTTCCGGGAGGGTTAACGGCCCCGGCGCAGGCGGAAGGATCCCGCAACCCCCGACCCCGGGATTGACAGCCGCTAATCGGTTCGGAAGTTGCAATCCTTTCCAAAAACGACGGGGTATCGGTGGCATCCCCTTGTTCCTTCATTTCAATAGATTTAAACTTTATCAACACGTTACCCCCGCTCGAACATATACATAAGAGGATGACGTTGCCCTCACGTTGTCGATAGTAATGCACTTGTTTTATAACAGTCCATGACCATTGTTCTTTACCGGGGTGGCGCTTTCTTTTTCTGCTTCGAAACAATAAACGTTCACCGCACTTTCCTTAGAGCTAGCCAAGGCACTTCCATTCCTGTCCATTATCTCTGAGCAAAAGTTCCTGTGTTTCCTGGAGTCTGCATTGGGCAACATGGACTCTGACGAGTCCGACTTTTACGGTTTGCATCTTTATGAGCTCAATTGATATTGAACAAGACGAACTAATTCGCACTTAGGGGACGATGAGATCGTCGCCGACCTAGAGTCTCGGGTTACGTCATTTGACGTTTCTCAGTGGTGGGAAGAGAGGAATGCGGCGGCGGCCTCCATCTCGGTGATGGACAGAAAAGTCAAGAAGGAGCCTCTTGACAGCACTAAACTCCACAATCCGTACGCCGGTGTTCCCTACGCGTGGCAGTTGACTGAGACCGTCAACGACTTCTTGGGTCGTCTCCCTCCCGAGACGACGGAGCACAGCGAGCGGCTCCCGTGGATTTTCGTATGCAATCCGTACATCCGCAGGAAGGACAGGTTCAATGCGCAGAATCAGCGGAGCAGAGGCAATGAGGATGAAGCACCCGAGGAAGAGGGCTCGCGACTTGATACTCTCATCGAGGGGGGCTCGGAGAGATTAGATATCCTCCTCAACTACAAGCAAGGCCTGGAGAAGACCACCAAGTCCAAAGCAATGCAGGCAAAATTGCTGAGGCAAGAACAAGAAGATGCCACCCGAGATATCATGAGCCTCGCACACATGTGTAAGATCAAGGCCGGGAAGGCAAGTGTTCGACAAGGCCTGCGCGTACTGCATATGATAGCTGATTCTCGTCAAACAGTGGATGCTCTTCTGTCAGCCTAAGGATGTCAACGAAGTCTGGAACGTCATAGCAAGGGCCACAGCGAATAACGAACTAGGCATTGCCGCAAAAGTTGCCCCTTGGAATCCGTATACGGATCCTACCGGTCGGAAAGACCGGATTGTATGCGTTTATACGGCCGACTTCAGCGACATGGCAGATGTCACTCGGGTCCTGCGTCGGCTGAGAGAGCTCAAGCTCGTTGAGGCCATAAGACGTCCTATTTACTATAAACCAGGTTCGTAGAAGCCCCCTATCGCGGAAAAGAATCGCGGTCTGACACGACCAAGATGCGTTTACATATCTCGGTATCGCTTCCGGCAATCATTGGGGTTTGAAGGCATCGATCTACAGTTCTAGGGATGTGTTATCCTAGACAAGCATCGGTCATGTAGTTTCCCACTTCCCGAGAGGAGCTTATATATGGTTCACTTGATGACGCGGCTCTTCGCAGCTGTAGGCTCACTAAGGCCGGAAAGACTAGTACTCGTCTCAATGTTTGCATGTTGTTGGGAGCTAGTAGGGAAAGCCAGCTGGATCGGTCCAAAAAACAGAAAACAGGCGGAAAGAGTCGGCGATTGTCGCCAAGGCTGAAAGGACGGACTCCAGCGCATCTATGCTCCTCTGGTGTACATGAAATTCAATATGTACCTCTAATCAGCCGTACATGTAGAGTACTGCCACGAGCCTTTGCGTTAGTGAATACGGATTACGACATGCGCCCTGCCAAAAAAAAACAAAAAACAAATTTGCCTCTGTCCCTTTGTACACCGCTCAACCATCTATCAGAACTGACTACGCAATAAACCACCAAGTCCGGTACCAATGCCCCTAGTGATGCTCATGTTTTAACCCATGCAATGTCTCGTTCTAAAGCAACGGAGATACTCTGCCAGCTCTCATGTGTAACCCCAATCTGATCTTTCAGTGTCTGGATGAACCGATCAAGGCGGTTGTTGTCAAATAACGCCGCATGTGTTGTCAAGCATTCTTTTTGACTTGAGAAGCAGATCTTCCCCATACTCCCCTAGTCAGGGTGACTGGCCATCGGAATCATCAAACGCGGCATCCGGGTCGATAGGTTTGAGCAGCAGTACCAGCCTATACGCGCTATTGCCGTTGAGGTAATACCTATGTAGTTTCTTGGAACGCAAGAACCCAAGACGCTCGTACAGACGCATGGCTTGCGTGTTGGTTTCTTCCGTCTCCAGGACCACCTCATCCGCGTTCCGTTGGGCCATGGCATCTATGGCCCTCTTCACGAGTGCTGTCGCAATGCCTTTACCGCGATATGGTGAGGCCACGGCGAGCATAGCGATGTAGCCCCGGCGCGTTGGCGGCGAGTGAGACGAGTGCACTTCCAGCTTGCAAATGATGACACCTATGAGAGACCCGTCGGCGGGGTCCAAAGTCTGTGGCCTAAGTAAGCAACGGCGATGACAGACACAAGAGGGAATTGAGAGAAAGGCAACGCACCATGAAGCACAAATGACCCCACTGGTATAGAAAATATCGGTAGACATAGATGCTGTATGGCTCACTCAAGTCCTTTGCGATCAGAGAGCGTATAGCTGGAAGGTATTTCGCTTCTAGACCATGCTCGTACTGGATGTACTGCAGATCCGAGGGGAGGTGGGTGACCTTCGAAACGTCCATGTTGCTGTCTCGCGGGGTATATCTGTTTGAGGCCGGACTTCGTAGGTAAGAGATGATGTGGAAGTCAAAGATATGAGATTCGTGATGAGGGGTTGCGCACAAGCCTATACCGGCACGTGAAATGGTCTCAAGGCATGACAATCTGTATGGCGCGCGAGGAAGAAGCAAGAAGTGACGTCTTTGGCTCCAAGACGAGGCGGATGAGAGAATGTGCAAGCAAATAGTCGGTTATCGCAGTGTGACGCGCGATTTGCTGTAGAGGAAGACGAAGACGAGAATGCAAAAGATGGAGAGGCGCGGCTCTGCCGCGGCTGGTGGGTAATGAGACAAGGACGAGTGCAAAACCGCCCAAACCAGGATCGTGAGATGTGCGTTTGCAGGTGCAACTTGATGGGCGTAGTCGGAGTCGGAGTCGGGGGACGCTGCATTCGATACCTAAAACTGAGTCGAGTTGCTCTGGCTGCGGTGCTTCAGGTCAGCCAGCTCCGCTCAGACCGTGTGGTGTTCAGTGTCCTACCTTACCAACTGCAGTACGCGTACGGTAGCGCCCCGTCTGGAGGCCCACCATCTTCGCCCATCGTCCCTGTCAGATTCGGAGGTCAGGGCAGTTTTGCGGGCAGGCCACTTAGTGGGGTCTACCGACGGGGCGGCCTGTTGTCCTTAGGGCAGTAAGATTCCTTTTCCAGTCAAACGCCGTGAATTTCCTTCACTGTCACATGCCAAACGGCCAGCCTCGTGCTCCCTCGACAGTCATCTCATTGGATACCTAGGATGGTTTGAGTAAGGTAGATACCCAAGAAATCCCATCTCATTCCGACCTACTTGGGTTTTGGAAACTCGACATCGCGAAGAGGAAAGGTATCTATCTATCAGGTGAGGGAAGCACGTGGTAAAGTAAGGTGCATTAGGGTGAAGCCAGAGATGGCGGCGCCTCACGCTTGCCAGCGTATGCTGGATGGTGTTTGTGAGGGTTGTCAAACTTGGATATTCCAGGGAAGTAAGAGAAAACCGTAACAAGGTTGCCGAGTAGGATTCACTTTGTGTCTTATTCAAGGCGAGATAATTGCCCCGTCAAATCTGCCAAGTTTAAATTCTTGCTTGCGTTCATGCAATGGGGTTCGTCCAAGGTCAGTCACATGCAAGTCGATCGATCCCCCTAGGTTGCCTCTAAGTGTCTGCTTTACATCCCATTACCTCTATCCAATTACCTAGACCACAAGAGGGAGGAAATGACTTGGCCGCTTTCGGAACGAATCTGCGCGATAAGCATTGTCAGAAGAATAGAAAATGTCTGTACTGGCATTCTCTGGTAGGTAAGGCAGGTACCTTATGTATGTACTTGAGGTAGTACTACCTAGTGCTAAGGTAAGGATTTACGAAGGATACCGGTGCCCTCGTTCAGTGGGACCCCCCTGCCTCCCATTGCGGCAAGGTGCCTGTGCATCTGCCGGGCGCACTCACGACAAGGCCGGGTACTGACAAGCCATACAGAAACACGCCTAATGTTCAAGTACCTTTTCTGGCGGACAACATGCGAAAAAGACGCTGCCCCCCTCGGAGATTGACGTCACGTCGGGCCGCACGGAGAAGTCAAGCAGCTCATGCATCTTTTTTTGCTCGTTCCTCGGCCGCCTCCAACATCCCACCCTCCGAGCTCCGGACTCCTTGGCTCTCAATCTTGCCCGGCCAAGCACACCTGAATCCCGCATGCCTCGGGGCTGCCTGTCAACATTCGTCCCTCTCTATCTGTCCAACAAATCACGAAACAAGCTTTGCCTAGCTTTGGATCTGCCATAGTCCTCCCCCCTTGCTCGCCGCTTAGCTCACACCGTCCCATCGCCCATTCGCCCGCGTGCCTCCCAATAAGTACCAGACCACGCCCAAGGAGGACGGCGTACTTGACACCGTCCTCGCTTCCACTTCACCCCAAGCTCAGGTATGCGCCGCCTGGCCCTTACTTCCATGGAATAGCCTGACCCCCTTCGGTTATTACAACAAACATCGACTTCAAGAGCTAACTTCGCTCTATTAGCATCTTCCACCTGGTAGCAGCCCTTTGCGACCGCGACCATGTCTTCCTCGACTCTTAGGCGCCGAGCCATCCCCCCCGACAGCAACGTCGACAGCGAACCTTCGACCCCTCGAGACGAAAGCCCCGAGAAATCCGAGACTGTAGCTCACGTCGTTCACCATGTAAAACCCAAGACACGGAAACGCCGGAATGGCGCCATCTTCTTACTTGGAAGTTTGTTTGGAATCATAGCCGCCGGCTTTTTCGCGAAAAGCAACGACCTCATAGATTTCCCCGAGCTTGGAGAGCTTAGCATGGACAGCTTTTTCGATGTCTTACCAGCTGGCTTGGTCAAGGATATGCGGGAGCTTGTGGTCAGTAACAATTCAGGCGTCGTCTTTGACGGGCGTGCGTCATCTAGCTGGCTAGAACTAACATGGCTGGCTGTAAAGCAAGGCGAGCGAGAATTCGTCGATAGCTACGATGCCTTCTCCGTAGGCTTGCAGGCCCGTGCCGAGGGTCTTCATGCCCATCACCCCATGATCATGGTCCCCGGCGTCATCTCAACAGGCCTCGAGTCGTGGGGCACAGCCAATGTTTCCCGCCAGTATTTCCGAAAGCGCCTCTGGGGTAGCTGGAGCATGATGCGTGCGCTGGTCCTCGACAAGGAAAATTGGAAGAAACATATCATGCTGGACCAGGAGACCGGTCTCGACCCCCCTCATATCAAGCTACGAGCTGCTCAAGGCTTCGACGCAACCGACTTCTTCATCACTGGCTACTGGATATGGAACAAGATTTTCGAGAATCTGGCATCGATAGGCTACGACCCGACTAATTCCTTCACTGCCGCTTACGACTGGCGTTTGGCGTACCCCAACCTCGAAACACGCGATCAGTACTTTTCGAGGCTTAAGTCTTACATTGAGACTGCGCATGCGTTTTCGGGCAAGAAGGCTGTTCTCGTGTCCCACAGTATGGGAGGACAAGTCCTTTTCTACTTCTTTCACTGGGTCGCATCCGAGAGCGGTGGACGAGGTGGCGACGATTGGGTCGAACAGCACGTCGAAGCTTGGATCAACGTGAGTGGTTGCATGCTTGGTGCTGTCAAGGACTTGACAGCTGTCCTGTCAGGTGAGATGAGAGACACAGCCCAGCTCAACGCATTTGCCGTGTACGGCCTCGAGAAGTTTTTGAGCAAAGATGAGAGAGCCCAGCTCTTCCGAGCTATGCCTGGCATTTCCTCCATGCTTCCTATTGGAGGGGACGCTGTTTGGGGCAATTCGACATGGGCACCTGATGATAAGCCGGACCAGGAACTGTCTTACGGTTCTCTCCTCAATTTCCGCAGCGGCATGAATTGGACAACTCCGGAACGGAATCTGACGGTCGAGTCGGCCATGAACTACCTCTTCAATACTACAGAGGAGTGGTACTCGAGGAATGTGAAGGGGGCCTATTCCCATGGTGTAGCACACACTCAAGCCGAGGTCGACGCCAACGAAAAAGACCCAAACAAATGGATCAACCCCCTGGAGACACGTCTGCCCCTGGCACCGAGTCTCAAGATTTACTGCTT